TTATTCCACTGTGATCTGAGAAGATACATGGTATGATTTCTATTTTTTTAAATTTCTTGAGGTTTACTTTGTGTCTAGGATATGGTCAATCTCTAGAGATGTCCATGAGCTGATGAGAAGAATGTATAGTCAGTGATTTTGGGTAGAATTTTCTGTAAATGTCAAGTCAGACCCAACTTGTTCTAGAGTTTTGTTTAAGTCATTATTTCTTTATTAATTTTCTGTTTGGAGGATCTGTCTCTGTGCCGTCATGGGTGTTGAAATCTCCGGTGGATTATGGAGTTGCTATTAATCCATTGTGCTTAGTCCAGTAAAGTTTGCTTTATGAATCTGGTGCACCTAAGTTGGTGGCATATATATTTAAAATTATGTATCTCTTCTTGTTGAAGTGTGCCCTTCACCGTTATATAATGACCCTCTTTGTCTTTCACATTTTCGGTTTAAAAATAAATCGTCTGATTGAACTGCACACCAGCCTTCTTTGGCTAAAAACAAATCCGTCAATTAGAACTGCCACACCAGCCGTTCTTTGCCTTGGCATCTTGCTTGAAATACCTGATCTCCACCGTTTTTTAGCTTCTATATGGATCCGGCCCAGGCGCTGTATGATGGCTCGCTGAAGACAACAGGTACTACTTTGTCCCTTGATTCTGTGTATCCATGTGCCAAGCCGAGCTACTGCTCGGAGTGGGTAGAGTGTAAGCATCCTGCGCATTATCTGAGAGCTGAGTAGAACGTTAGTACTGTCATCTGTTGCCCTGTGTGATGGTGTTGCTTGATTTCGCTGAGGCCATGAATTACTGGCCTTTAATCTGGTGGTGTTTAGCATTGTGGTAAGGTTCCATGCGCCTAGACACTGAGGTATACCCGTTCTTGTAGGCTGTTCTGTGATCTCTGAACTTGGCTGGTCTGGAGAATTGTCTTTATCTGCTTTCATAGAAGCTTTGCCACGGAAAAAAGATTCTAGGGGGATTGTTGTAGATAGGTGAAATAGGGCCCCAGTCCTCCTTGCCTTGTAAAGTCGTCATTAGGAATCTGGGTGTACGAATTGCTTCCCTGTATGTCACTGCTGTCTTCGTGCTTACAGCTCTGAGGAAGCCCTCTAGTGATATTTTGGTCAGTCTGATGACTGCATTCGTGACACTTCCTGTGCATGAATCTGCAGGTCCTCGAGTTCTGAACTTGTATATCAAGATTTGAGTCAAAGCCTGGAAATTTTCCCAAGATCGTAAATAGCTGTCCAACCGTGTGGGTGTGTCCTCTTTCCTCTCTGTGTCCTAGTGACCCTAACATTAGCTTCACAAATCCCATCTGCGTACTTGCGTCTGTTTCTTGTTTCTCTGCTCTTTCTTATGGTTTTATAGTGGCGAGGTATCTAGCTCGTGAGTCTCTTCGTATCACCCTGTCTTGAACGTTCCACTGTATGTAGTTCCCTGATCGATCTCACCAGAGTCGTTAAAGCTTGTTCATTGTAGCCACTTTCCATCCTGGAGCGTTGGTTTCTGTGGTTTGAGTGGTGCAGCGTTCGGGTGAGTCTTATGATCCACATACGAAATTCTTCGTTGGTGCCTGATTGGTTGGTCCGTTCAGGGGCTCGGTCTCTCTTTGGGGGTGTTTTCCGTGTTCCCATTATTTCCTGAGTCTTTCGCTGATTTCTTCCATGTCGATTCAGTTGTTGTTCTCCTTTAGTTATTGTTTGCGGGTATTCACAACCTGTTTGGTTCTGAGGGTTTAGGTCTCCGGTGTCTGTGCGGTAGATTGGACGCTATCCCTGTATATTCGAGTCATAGGGTGGTCGCCAGGAAAGGCTGTGCAACGGATGCCGTCCCTGTCAGATAGGTGCGTTGCTGGTGAGGAACAGGCCGTATGCTGGCTGATTTTGCCTGTCCTGGTCTATCAGGTCTGGTTCTGGGCGGTAGGCTGCTCGGGTTGGGGGTAAGCGCTGGCCTCAGGCAGTTGCCATGTGTGTCAAAGTCGCTGTTGTCTCTGATTCTCTCCAGGAAAAGGCTGTCAGGGGGGGCCCTTGGATGTCCCGCTCAGCAGAAAGTCTGCTTGTGGGGGGTGTGGCTGCTCTGGAGTCCGCAGTCTGAGCAGGCTCGCTCTTTCTCACCCTCCCAACTCCACGCTACTCCTGGGGCCTCTGCCAGCAGGCCAGAGCCACACGCCCCAGGCCTCCCCGAGTGTGTGATGCTGGCGGCGAGGTTCCCTGCACAGAAACGCCTGGCTGGGCGCACAGCCTCCGTTTGGTGGGAGGGTTGCCTCTAGGCGTGATCTGCCCCCTGGAGGCACACATACCTCAGCGGGCTCGTTTCACAATATCCCTTCTGTGCCCTGGGGGAATGCTAGACCTCGATGCACGGGTCTGGTCTGCAGGTCTGACTCTGGGTCCCAGAGTTCAAACTGTATCCCACAGGGAGAGGAGTTCCAGTGCCCAATTCACCCACGGGAGTCCAAGCTGTGTCTGTGTCTCTCAGCCTCTGAGTCGGCACCGTTCTCCTGGGATCACCGGTGCAGCAGCACCTGGGAGGCTGGGCGGGTAGCGCTCACAGTCTGGTTCCCCTTATGTCAGCTGTAGGGTCCCAAAAGAGGGGTCCGTTCCTGGAGGTGCTCCGGCTGGTGGCTGTATTGTCTCTCGGCAGCACAGGTAGTGGTGGGAGGGGAGGAAGGAGGCAATATGGCTGCGCGCGGCTCGTCCGTCTGTGCACATGGAGGTGCCTCGAGGGGATTTGGGGATCTGGTGCCATGTCTGCACAGGCTCACCTAGCTGGCAGCGGCCGTCTCGTGGGCTGGTGTCCGCAGGTCTCTCCACCTGCTGGGAAGCCCACCAGCAGTCCCAAATGCAGGGGAGGGAAAGGTAATTTATCCACCTACCTTCCGCTGGGTCTCCTGGTGCGTCCGGCGGTCTCAGCTTCCAGTTTCTCCTCCGCAGCCTCCTGCCCGTGGAGTCCCTCACGGTCCTCAAGATACCCCTCCTTCCGGCCCTCGTCTGCTGTGCATGCTTGCTTCTTTGCTTCTTTTTTCTAATTTCTGCTAGAATCTGTCTTTTCTGCAGAGACACTCTTTCTGGCAGTGTTTCTCGTCTGCCATCTTGATCCTCCTCTAGTTCGTCTTCTTAACTGGCTACACAACATCTCACTGAAGATGAAATGGGTTGAAGTGGGAATTTTATGGCCCACATAAAATTGTTTGGAAGTATCACCGGCAATGTACACAGTATCTTTGTTCATGCTACTCTTGCTTTTGCTAAAGATGATTACTACATCTCCAGGGACAAATTTAAATGGTATGTGTCAGGCTTTACTTTTTGGTCTAGTGATTTCTTTCTTTCTTTTTTTTTTACTTATATATTATGAGAAACTAATGGTCAACACAGAGTTTAGATTACTTTTTAATCTGATAACATATAAGTTATGGTAACAGGTTATAATAATCTTTGGGCCTCAAGTGCTTACTGAAACTTAGAATAGATTTTTTTCCTAATTTTCCTAAAAATTAATATATATTAAATGTATCAAATCTAAAAGTGATTGGCCAGATCAACAGTAACAGATTCTATGAGTAGTGTTTGCTTGCTTTCATTTTTGGCTCAAATGAGATGAAAAGTATGGAAAGTGACTGAATTGAACCTTAGCTGAATTTCAAAGATGATAAACATTTTGTGCAATATAGATTGTGCCCTCTCCATTAGATGAAAACAGGTTATTTTGATTCTAATTTTGCTTCTGTAATCACCCCTGTTCTTTTGAGAAAATTTTAAGAAATCTAGCTGTTGTCAAATTTACTTTTCTTTCTGTTTTTTTTTCCTGTTCTCAAGTTTGAAAACTATGCAGACCTTAGCCAGTATGTAGACGTAGTATGTGTATGTTGTCTGCTTAGAGGCTTGAGTTATCTTTACTAAAAAATAGGAAGATGGTACATAAATGTATAATGAGAGAGTTTCAGAAGACTGTTTTTTTTTTTCCAATCCATGAGAAACCTTACTTCATGACCTAGATGTTAATGTTGTACAGAGCACATAATTGGAATTCAAATAAAAGTTTGCATATAAAATCTTTTTTAAAAGTGAGCACTGAAAACACTCAGGATATTTTTAAGTTATCGACCTTCTAATTAAATATTTATTTTGTAGCAAATTATTTATTTTGTAGCAAAATATATAATAATAGATACTAACATTTTGTAATGCACTGATCAGTTCCCTATACCAGTTAAAAATGTTTTTGTTATATTAAATTTGCTACCTTCTAGAGAGTTATCTTTGCATACTTGTACAGAAGTTTTCTCCTTTTAGAACTAATGTTTTTATATAGTAGCTACATCACACTAGTGTGTAATTGTCAACAAACAAACCACTTCTTTGGTTGTATTTATGCAGACAAAATATTTGTTCCCTGACAAAGAAAAGTTATTTTAGTGTGATGCCCTTTTAAAAATGAAGCAAGCCCTTCTGTTGTGTGGCTGAAATAATTCCTTTTTAAAAAACATGTATGAGGATTTAAATATTATTTCTAGTTTATTTTAAATGTATTAGGTAGGAGCATTTCAGCTTGCAAGAAGTATTTTAGCTGATCAGAAGAAGTTAAATATCTGGAAAAGATTCTGTTTGAGAAAATATTGTAAAGCCATTTTCATACATATTGAAGGATTTTCTACCAAGTTAAAGGTTCTGTCGATGCACTGAATAACTTTCAATCACATGGATGTGGTAAGTAGACTATCTTAGAAGACATTCTGTATTGATTCACTTGGTTATGAATCCAAAAGTATCATGTGCTAAAAGGTTTATGATCATTAAAATATTTATACTAAGAGGTGAATTTAAACAAAATAGGATATTGTTGTTCCTCTGAAACCTTCTTTTATAGAATCACACTTTTTTGATAGCAATCGAAATCTGACATCTGGTTAGAGAAAAAGCAAAAGGGCAGAGGAAGGTCAATGTTTTTATGACTTCAGTTTTTGCTTATTACATAAGATGGTAATGGACTGAACTTACCAGCTTACAATACAATTTTGATTTTATTTTAAACGTATTTTGCAATGATATAAAAATATTGATCACAGTGAGCTTTACCAGTTGTTATTGCTATAAAAAAATGAATGCAGAAACAATATTTTTTAGTGGAAATAAATTATATAGTCATTATTTAAAAAAAAAAATCACAAGAGAAAAACCTCCACTGTTTGGTCATTGGCATAAAACCAGTCTTTAAAAGAGGCCTTTTGCAGACGAGATCCAGTCCATTTCTGTGACATTTTCCACATGGTTCGGGGAATACAGACTTTAGTCTTTGTTACCATGGTCCCACAGGGGTCTCTCTGTTCACAGACAGTTCTAATGTGGCAGCACAGTTTTCCATGACAGAAATATGACGAACTGGAAAACAGTACAATCTAGTTCATATGTGGTCTTTTCCAATATGAAGGGACACAGCGGCACACTTCTTCACTAAATGTAAGTCCCAGCTCACAAGGTTTAGGTCGATTTGTACAGGGTCGTCTGTAACAACTGAAAGAACAAAGAGGAACACACTTTCGTTAAGGATCAAGGCAATGAATTCATTATACTACCACGGTACTTTTGTGGTTTTCTAAATTTTAAACTAGAATTACGTTTCTAATTTTACTGTAAAATCGTTTGTAGGTTTATAAAAGTTTAAAGTGTGTGCTTAGAATTGCAACAGTTAAGAGGAATGGAGAAACCCTAAAAAAAAAATAATAATAAGTCTTGCTTGCTGATGGAGTGTAGTAAATATTATTTCTTTTGAAGTGCTCCCTGCTTTGTGGATGAAAGTAATATAAAAAAGAAATTTCAGAAGTGAATATTTAAAGTCTGCTGATTTACTGTGATCACATAAGCATGGCAGAACTCGCAGGAGTCTGGGACTCGTATGGGACCCAGACTTCCAGGCAATTAAGCCCAGCCACCTCGGCAGAACCGTGGTCCTCAGCGAACAGCCCCAGCCTCACTCTGGTGTCTCTACTAGGCATCTGGCTGCAACCCGGTGGCTCACTCCTCCTTCTCCACCTGCGCTCCAGGTGACACAGATGAGATCTGAAGCAAGGGAGGGAGAGGCACAACACTCACCAGTGGGAGCCCCTCTCCTCCCACCCTAGACTTCCAATTTCTAGCAGTGGTGAAAGGACAAATTACCAATCAGGAAATCCGTTGGCAGCCCTGTGGCTCCAGCGCATTGGGGCTGTCTTTGGAAAAGTGTGGAGTAGGAGCGTGCCTGACACCTGGGAGCAGGTGCAGAGGGAAAAGTGCAAGATGACCCGTAGTGGAAATCAAAAGTGTGCTACAAAGAACCTACACAATTTAGTTTTTGAAATTTCATTTCTTTTGCTCTAGAGAAGAAAGCATAGCTAGTTAATTTTTTTTTAATTTCTTGAATACAAATTCATACTTATAAAACCACTGGTATTTCTTTAACAAAAAGGGATATAATTTTTAATGTGCTATGAAAGCTGCTAATTTTAAGGCACCTCCCCCGCCCGACCTTATTCTCTGAGATTAAAGAGGAAGAGGTTCCGGGATTAACACTGAATGTGCTTGAGTCTAATAATGTCATGTTTTTTTTTCTTTTTGGGGGGGAAGAAGAATGTAAAACCAAGGTTTAAGATATGAATCTTGGTAACCTTTAACAGCATATTAATTTATTTCTCTCTAATTTAATTAAAGACTTAGCTTAAACATTTTCATTCTGGATATAATCCTACAGTAAATGGTTCTATCCTATCCTTTGTTTGTAAGTGTTGCATGAAAATTGTCTGCATTTAGAACAGTTGTCCTAAGTTACAAGTGAAGGTGCAATTTTTGGTGGGAGAAGCTGTGGATTGCCTGGATGTATCCTGAAGATGTCCCACATCTCGCACTGAACACCAAGACCTTCACCTCTGGGGCAAGGACTGAGAGCGTATTCTGAGCTTGGATCTGGTGTTGGTCCCCAAGGCTGCTGTCTTGCTTTGTTGGGAGCGAACCCAATCTCATGCAAGTTGAGCACTGGTTAAAAAATATCGGAATTTGTCTTCCAGATCTCACTGGCCTCATTCTAAAAGGCAACAGCTATTTCAGTTCAGAAAACTGCTTTTGGTGAAGAATATATTTCCAGTAAGAAAAATGAATACTATTTATGAAGATCTCTTACCTGCATGTTTGATGTTGGAACTTCTTTCCTTTCAACAAGCATTTCTGTGGGTTTTCTGTACATTCACAGGCACATTTTGCAGGATTCAGGGGTTGATGTCTCGGGCAGGTCCTTTTACATACACACTGGCATGTGTTTTCATCAAATTCTCTGTTGGCCCCGCATGAACTGGGGAAAAGTTTGTTTTTACAGACACACTGGCATGAGTTTCTGTCTAGTTCTTTGTGGGGTCCACAGCTGGAAGGCTGAAGCCCCCCTTTGCAGACACACTGACAGGTCTCTTCATCCAGTTCCTTGTTTGGCCCACAGATGTTGTAGAGTCCGTCTGCCGCGTCTGCGTCTGGACAAACACAGAACACTTTACTATACCTTACCTGGTTCTCAGTGTGGCAGGAAACAATTAAAAAGCATTTAAAAGCATATTCCTTTTTATGTTCTCAGTTAAAGGGTGGTATACAGACATGAGTGTGTTCCTTTACAAAAGTTCGAAATAATACCAATATGAAGTAGAAAACACCCTCTTCGTTAGTTACTTATTTTAAAGAATGATGGCCTGAATATTGTTCTAGTGGTTTTCATATTAAAATTCAGCCTTTAAAATGCCATTCTGCTTACCGTCTCCAGCATTCAAGGAAAAAATTAAGTCTTGCTGAGCCAGGCATCTGCAGATGTGGTTGTTCCACATGTAATTTGCGGGGCAAGTCTTGTTGGCTTCCTGACACCTTTGGAAGAGACGGATGGGGTTAAGCAAAAGTATAATATAACTGGTACGTAGAAGGGATCATCTCTTTTCTCACACATGTATTACAAATCAATACATGCTTGGAAAAAAAAACATAAGAACATATGAAATGAAATGTGAAAGTTCCCTCTCGAACTAACTCCACCCATAACTGCTGTCAAATCCCTAATCCCAGAGGTGGCCGCTGTTAGTGTATCATCTTATGTGATTCTCTAGACCTTCATGTTTTTAAGGCAAATACATTTATTTGCATAATCACAGTGTTTTTATAATAGGTTGTGGAAATAAGTGGGCTAATGACTTTTATATTCCTTTTTCCACTAAACAATATATTATGAACATCTTTATATGTCATTGCATAAAGTTCTCCTCCATTATTTTTAGTGGCTGTGTAATATTTCATGAGAGTGGATACACCTTTGTTTATTTTATGAATCTTTTAGGGAAACCCTTTAAGTAGCTTCTGATTTGGGGCTTTTACAAATAACGCTATAGGAGACATCTATATACATATACCTTCACTGACTATTTCTGAAGCATCCCCATAGCTGTAAAGCCTCCAGGCATGCAAAATTTCTACTCTGCACTCAGCACGATGCTATCAGAGCGAATGTTTTGTTTTGTTGGGATTTATTTATTTATTTTTTAGCCTTTTTTTTCCTTTCTTCCTTCCCTGACTCTCTGCTTCTCTGTCTCCCTCCCTTCCTTGCTTCTTTACTTCTAATTTTAGGGAAAACTATGAACATATGGGCTTTAATAAGCACAGCAGTTGCTCCTTTGGTGCTCCAATTGCCCACTGTTGTCTAACCCTAACCGGGACCGTCCATGGGGTACCTGTGTGGCATGAGCCCTCTCCGGGATGAACAGATGCCACAAGCTCATCCCGCTCATTTTCCCCTCCACACCCGGAAACAGCCACGCATTCAAGGAGCCCTAATTCTCATTGTTGGGAAACAGCATTCAGAGGCTATCATTGGGATTAGGAGTGCCCAGTGCCATCTGATTGCATTACGTCTGGATCTTTTCGGGGGCAGAACTAGAAAACTGCAGGTATATCCCACAGAATGTTTCCCTAGTTAGTGTTTACCCATTAGAGAGAGTATTTATAAATCTCTTGCTACCCCATTTTTCAACTGATAGTGGTGTAGACATCAGTGGAAATATTTATTTACATCTTTCAAGTTCAGTACAATACTGTAAAAGCCATTATGTGGTGGAAGAGTGTTAAGTTACATTACAAATTGGTAGAATATAACAATCATGTGCAGACATCTTGAAAAGTGCACTGATTGTAAATAAGCAGGTCGTGTGATTCAGATCCGCTAAGAAAGTTTCACCGAGTCACAGCCAACGTGATGATACACCTTTCTTTTGAGAATAGCCTGACAACTTTTATAGCATCACATGATGGAATTTTTCAACAAAAAAAATAAGCAAATCTACATTTTGCAGCCATTTCTTCCTTCCGCGTGAACACCACCTCCGAAGATTTAACAAAGCTTTCCTGTCCTGCGGTCTCTACGGGAGCTCTGAGACACATAGAATCTCCATCCGTCCCTCTCAATATGACAGTTTTGTCTAAAACTGCCCCCGTCTTTCATGCACATCATCACCTTTTGCCACTGTCTGCAAATGGCAATGACTGCTCTCACCTTACCCCTCCTCCCTGCCTGACTTGCTGCAAGAGCCGTGTCTCCTTTAGCTTGGTGAAAAACAAGCTATTATGGGGTCTTTTCTTGAATTTACTTTAATTTTGATTTTTAAACAACGTTTTGATTGCTGTGTGCTGTTTACTGCACCATACCATAAACCAACAATTTCTCGTGCAGCGTGCAGCGTATACAGTCCACGTAACCACACACAAACCAACTGTGTTAGTAATAATTGCTGGATGACCAGAAAACAATTCTTACATTTTAGATCCTATCAAGATAGTCTAGTTTTTCTGCAGGCATTATTGTGCATACGCTTTTTTTTGTAGGAAATCAGCTTTGTTTGGGGCTTACCTACAATTCATTATATTTTTCCCATTTAAAATAATAAAAATATGCTTGCAATGCATATTTTAAAAAATAGATTATTGATATTAAACAAGGAATTCTTGTATATATTTCCAGAGAAAAAAGGAGTTCATACTGTTATTTCTAAATCCAATTTAAGATTATTGGGATTTTAAATGTATTCCTTTGACTTCATACTAATAAATTCCATTAAAATGTTGGCTTTAAACAATGAACATAAGATGAACACAACAATTCAAAAACATTTAGAACAAAACTGTTGAGGCATTTTACCCAGGGCTCTGTAGCTCTGAAAATAAAAGGATGTAGTTACCCTTTCAGCTACTATTCAGAAAGCAATCTTGAGCAAGAAGGATGGATCTATATTCTGGATCTATATTCTTCCATAATATAGTTACAGGTTGGAAGTTCAGATAACATCTGGCATTTAGGAAATCAAAAGGGTATTCTGGTATCTATTGAAATTATTAACACAGTCAGGTTTCCCTTATTTGTTTTCTTAATGGGATAAAGAGCATCTTGTTGGACAGCCCACTGAATGATCTAAAGATGCTCTGAAGGAATGTATTAGAGCTCATGGTACCTGCTTTCAAACATGGGTTTCACTAATGATAATGGACCACACTCCATATTTAATAAGACTTAGGCTAAGACAGATATTTCAGAAACCCAACAGATATTTAAGGAGTGTAGGTACCACATAGCAAAATTTTAATTGTTGCTTTGTTGCAAAAATATCTTATTAAAAGAACTTCCAATGAGAGTACTTGATTAATAGCAGAGTTCATATTCATAGAAATAATTTGCTTTTTTAAAGTCATTAAGTGCTACAGGTTGAATTTATATTAATGTTATCACTCATTTTTAATGATCTATGAAATATTTTAAAAATCAAGGGAAACAAATCAGTAAGTAATTTAACATAAATAAAGGTGCAGTTAAATTTTCTTCCACTTAGAAATGCATTACAAAGATGCTGCCATTTACAATATGGATGACTCTGAAGGACACGGCGCTAAGTGCAATAAGCCAGACAGAAAAATACTGCATGATCTTACTTGTATATGGAATCTAAATGAGTAGAACTCATAGAAACAGAGAACAGAGAGTCTGGAGGATAGGAGAAATGGGGAGATGTTGGTCAAAGAGTAAAAACGCGCAGTTATAAAATAAATAAGCTCTGGACACTTAATGTACAGCATGGTTACTATAGTTAATAATATATTGCATATTAAAATTTGCTAAAAGAGTGGATCTTAAGTGTTCTCACCACACACACAATAATAATAACTATGTGAGGTGGTAGGTCTGTTAATTAGGTTGACTGTGGTAATCATTTCACAATGTTATACATACACTGAAACATCACTTTGTAAACCTTAAGCATATACAATTTGTATTTGTCAATTATACTTCATTAAAGCTGGAAAATATATTAATGTAATTAATAAAAAAGAAACAGTCTCGGTGCAGTGGCTCACACCTATAATCCTAGTATTGTGGGGCTGAGGCAAGAAGATCCCTTGAGGCCAGCAGTTCAAGACCAGCCTGGTCACATAGCAAGATCCTGTCTTTACAAAAAAATTTAAAAAATTAGGAGGGTGTGGTGGTGGATGCCTGTAGTCCTGGATACTTGGGAAGCTAAGGCAGGAGGATCACTTAAGCCCAAGAATTCGAGGTTACAGTAAGCTACAGTCGTGCCACTGCAATCTAGCCTGAGTGACAGAGCAAGATCCTGTCTCCAAGATAAGGAAGGAAGGAAGGAAGGAAGGAAGGAAGGAAGGAAGGAAGGAAGGAAGGAAGGAAGGAAGGAAGGAGAAATTATGAAGATTGTAGCTCTTTAAAATAATATTTCAGTGCAGTTCTAACTAATGCCAAACAAAGGGTGGGGTAGCATGTTTTAGTTCTTTAAGTGTGGATTTAGGGAGTCAAGGAATCTCCAAGTGTATAAAAACACTGAAAAAAAATATGAATGAGCCATAAAAACAGCATGTACAAAAGTGCCAGCTACCATGTTCAAAGTATCAAAACTAATAATTATTACCCAGCATTTAGAATATAATCTAACAATACTTTTGGAGCACATTTAATTTTTAAAATTTCAAAGCAGGGATAAATAGCAAAAGTAAGATCGTCTTTATCATTAAATTACTAGTTCTCTACATTGAGAACCACATCTACCTTTAAATTTCTGTCCATTGAATTGAACTAGCAAAACGCAATAACTACCAAACCAAAGTTGAGTGAGAGCTTATTTTTTCGTATAACATTTCCAGAAACAGATGCTACATTTGTTTCTACACATAGAGTTTGCGTTTTTGAATTTATATGTTTGAAGTTGTTGAAATATCAAAGAGAAAACTTTATTTTTTCCTGACTATAAGAGAGATAAGAAAATTTTTGTTTCATGCTCTTTTAGGACAATTTTGTATGCATATTTAAAGTTTAAACACAGACATGTTAACACATATTCCTACAGTAGAAGATCTCATCATTCACCAGTATCACTTGGGCTAGAGAGTAAGATCACGCTTCATGCTTTTTGCCATTTAAATAGGTTAGATTTGTATTTTGTGAATTTTTTAGACTGGAACTAAAAACAAATATATTTGACACTGTAATTAAATTACACACATACACACACATCACACATATGGGAGAGGGGCGGTTATTTGTGTGAGGGGCTGCATTTGCTTATTTATGCATGAGTGTGTGCATGTGTCTATAATTGAAACAAATTGCAGAAAACAATCTTTACCACATGCAATCTAGTAGTTTGTATTTTATTATATGCCATTCTGTTATGTTAAAAAAATGCATTTCCCAACCCATGTCATTGATTTCATGATCCACTAATGGGTTGCAACCACCAGCTGGAAAAATACCGGCTTAGGTAATGGCAGGATAAATCACATGGTGGCAAAATGAAAAATGTCTTTCTATGGCCACCACCACGGTG